TAAACGTTTCTACCAAGGTATAGTCTTGTCCTGTTGTCTTAATATATTTGGATAAAGAACGTGTTGAAGAATAATGAATGTTTACATATTAAGCTTCTTCACACTTTTAAGAACATTTATTTTATTAGCCGATTTACAGTGCTACCAGAGCCTTGATGGTGTCCTGTCCTCTGTCTCGAAGGAAGGGGTGGGATTTCTCCTCATGGGTTTGCCCAACCAAAAAAAAAGATAAAAAAAAAATAAAAAAAAAGAAAGTTTTTTTTTGTATAGAGCCAAGGAAAAGCTCGAAATTCAGTTATTGAGATTTTCAGTTTTTCAGAAATTTCTGCGGTTAGATACCATTTTATTTTCAGTTATTAAGATTTTCAGTTTTTCAGTTATTGAGACTTTCATTTTTTCAGTTATTGAGACTTTCAGTTTTTCAGAAATTATTTGCAAAAAAATGGTTATGTATATTATAAAAATTTATGAATAAAAATGCTAGTTATACTATTTGGAGAATTATTTTTAAAATTGCTATTACATTTTTCTTTTTTTTATTTCTCTTTTTTTTTTTTTTTTTTTATTTCTTTTTTTTTATTTCTTTTTTTTATTTCTTTTTTTTTCTTTTTTTTATTTCTTTTTTTTATTTTTTTTTTATTTTTTTTTTTTTATTTTTTTTTTTATTTCTTTTTTTTTATTTTTTTTATTTTTTCATCTCTTTTTTTTTTCATCTCTTTTTTTATTTCTTTTTTTTGTCATGAGCTTGTGCTATTTTTTGTTACTGTTTTTGTGTGTGTAATATTTGATTTTTTTTTGGTATTTTGTATCATGAGGGTTTCCAAAATTGAGATCGGGTAGTATTGTGGGCAAAGTATAATTCTTGGACCGCTTTCAGTTGTTTAACAGATTGTTGGACATTTACTTGTTTCGAGTGCAGATTACAAAGAGTTGTTGAGTTTGATATTAAGAAGATCAGGATTCTGACATTGTAAAATGGTTGGAGCAGGTGCTGAATAAATATAGCATTTTTGGATTATTTTTTGTAATGGTATTAGATGCTTGTGTAGGACCAGGTTCATAAGAAATACAATTGCTGTGGTAGTCAATCAGATTACTGGATATTTGAGATAAAAATTGGCAAGTTTTTGTGTGGTCAGTAGAGTGAATTCTACTGTTGGATTTCGAAAAAGTATGGTCGGTGAAATGCACTTAAAAGCATTATGAATATGTGTAGACTGGTTCCTATTGTACAGATAGATGTTTGATCTTGTAGTTTCTTTGTAGGTGGAGAGTTGAATCGTCACGTTTTCTTTTCAGATTTATAGCTTTTGTTCAAAATACTATAGATTATTTAGAGATTAATATCAATGACTCCGAGGTATAGGCTTTATTTACATACAGAAACATAATGTGATCTGGAAATAATAAAAAAATCCATGAGGTGTAGAGCTTTAAGCAGTGTTTTCATTGTCAGAGTAATATTTAATTGTTGAAGTGAGCATGAGAATGAGATTTATTGCTGATTTAAGAAGAGAAATAAAGAGTTTTGGTATATAAACACCAAATGGAAAGAGAGAGAATTAAGATATCTGTTTTAAAAAAGAATGTTTATAATAAATTTATGGCTGCAGGTAATATATTGTCCTATTTATTTTTTATCTCCTTGAGTTCAATTTGTACTACTTTATTTAGTGGACCTTGGAATATTATTTTTTGATATAAAAAGCTGAAAATATAATGACTAATACTATTTAACAACAACCACTGGAAAAGAGGTGCGGTTTTTTTATGTGTAAAACTGTAATTAATTATGTGAAAAGACCAGGTTTTACAATGTGATCAGATAGTTTTTACAAGTGTATGAAGCTGACTTACTCATAGGTGGTAAGACCAACTTTCGAACATAGGAAAAGGTCAGAACAGCAGGATAGTAGGATGTGTTTGCATTTTCTGTATATGGGTTTTTACCACATGCACTAAAACGGCAACTCAGAATTATGTTTTGTTGTAATATATCCTACCGCTTTCTGATTAAAAGAACGATAAATGAAAGATCGATTATACGGATATGCCAGTTTTTACATTGTTTAATTTATGGATATGCCAGTTTTTACAGGGTTTTGTTGTATTTGAATTTATTTTATCCAATCTTAGAGACTTCTTCTTATACTGTTTGCTTCCATACACTTCTCCGATCTTTAATTTATTTATAATAATTATTGGTTTATTTTGTTTTTATTAGAAAGAAAAGAATATTCTTAGGTTTATAGTACAGTGGTTATATTTAATATTCAGGAACATTCTGGCTAGTGTTCTATCCTTCATACAATTTGAAATGGCCAATGTTCTGATAAAACAAGTATTCTCCAAACAATATCTCCCAGAGAAAAGCCCAGTTGTGTGTTGCTTGCTTGTAAATGGTTGTTCTATGAAATTAGAAAAGTGTTAGCTGTTTGAACAAGAAATCGTGGATATTAAGAATATATATATGTAATTATGCTTGCAATATAATAGCTTACCAGAGACAAAAAGAAAAGGCGTCATGAATGCGAACCATAGTACTCAATACACTTTATTTGGCTATAAAAATGCTGAAAAAAAATTATTTTTTGTGAACTGTGTGGTAGAATATTTCATTTACCTACCCGAAGCAAAAGGATTTATTTGCAGACCAAGAGAGTACATAGAAGATGCTAATATTGTCTTCAGTAAATGATATACATTAATATACAAAATAAATAATATTGTTACATGTACAAAAAAAAAATACCATGTCAATGACACTCGTATGAAATGAAAGTTCTTGATTCGCGATGTGCTTATGAGAGGGAGGTTCATCTATAATAGAAATTATGTTAAGCCATGTGCTTATTAAAAAGAGATAGATTGAAATAAAATAAAATATTACCGTGTTCATAACCGTGTTTAATAGTAGAGAGTAATTTCGGCGATATGGCCTATACAAAAGAAAGGAAAAAGTCAGGATAATTTTATAGGATGACGGCATAAAGTATATTTACTAACCTTAGCTAATCCGGATGGACATTGTGAAGGGGATGCATCAGAAGGTAACAAAACGCGAGTGTCTGTAGTAATAGAAAACAATTATTATCATTTTAGTTATATATATATATATAATATTAAAGAATAAGATATCTTACCAAGAAAATCTGTGAATATAATAAATGTTGGAAAGAGAGAAAAGAGAGAAAACTTGTAAATGAAAAAAAAAACAAAAAGAACAAAAGACCAAAGGGCCAAAAGGCCAAAAGACAGAAATCATATATTGGATTGAGTTGAAAAAAGCATGTTCAAAGCCGATTTGCACCCCGTTAATTCCAGGAAGTATTAATAGAGATATGCGTATTAAAGAAATCCTGAGTATTTACAGCAACAAGTGTAATATAATAAATGGGTTCTTGCTTTTACTTTTACCATCTTTCCATTAACTACACTTTATTCTTTCGCTTAACACCTAACTTCTTTTGTATGTTAATAACACTCTATATATACAATGAATAGATATATAAAACAAATATAATTAACAATCAACTCATGTATAACATTTTATTAGATAGCTTTCAGACCATGGTTAACAATCATCAGTCAATTGCCCCGGCTCCATCCCCGGAATATACTGAGCTTTTAAGAAGGCTCACCGCTATGGAGGAAAGTCTCAAGACCATGGATTCAAACATTGGCATTGTCATCAAGGGGAACAAAGATTCATTGGAAATACTTGATAGCGTTGCCAATGCCTCTGGAGAACTTCTTGCAGTTATTGCTCCTACCACTATACCTGCTTCTGCTTCTGTCCCTTTCGCAGCTTCTTCCGTTGGTTCTACTCTGGATTGGTATACAACACCTTCTGAGGCTTTTTTTGGTATCTCTTCTGCTGCTCCTTCTGTTGCTCCTTCTGTTGCTCCTTCTGTCGCTCCTTCTGTTGGTCCAGTGGTTCTTACTGGTGCAAACGCTGGTGAACTTAGTAAACAGAATCGCACTAGAGTTTTAGTAAGTGTTGAGATGTACAGTAGCTCATCAACATAATATCTCACACTAAGTATAGGCTCTTATCCGAGGAGAGTTGAAGAAACACAACTTCAAATCAAATAAGCCAGAACTAGTTGCAGCTAACGACAGCAAGTGCAGTTGGGATTTTAATGTTGATTACAGACTTCCACCCAACAGACAGCTGATGCATGACCTTCATGCATACCTGGCTCCAAAGGTTGTTGGGACTAGTGTTCGACAGGCCGATATTAGCGATTGTATCTACACAAACTTTTGTGGAACGAGACGCCGAGTCAAGGAATCCTATGAAGCGCGCAAAAAGACAAATTCTTGGTCAAGAAAAGCAGGTCGAGAGACCGATGTATGTTAGAAGTATATTTTGATTGCAAATTAAATGTATTCATATTAATACATTTATAAACTAGCATTTTGACCGTCGCGAGCTGACCTACCATACATTCAAGGCTGAAATTGATATGAAGGTGGGTAAGAGCTGTGACGGACTCTTACAGAAAGAAGCAATGTCTGAGGGCGAATCTGAAGACGATATGCCTGGAGTCTCGAGCAACCGTGCGATTCGTACAGTGCGTCCAAGTTGGAGAAGCGATGAGGTAATTTCTTTTGTTTACATTATTGTATATAGCTTTTTTTTTTGTTTTTTTATGGATTTAAATGAAACAGAACTTTGATTAATCACTTATTTGTATTTAGTACAATCACTTTCTTGCAGTTGTTGATGATTTTATGCGTAATCGCATGGACTTCAATTCGCATCAGATGTTGAAGAGGTCCTTCGGTAGAGATGCTGTTTTAGCAGTCCCGCCTAGATTGACGTCCCTTCTCCCTCACTGGGCTTTTAGAGATGAGTTTCAATAAATTTTGTTTTCTTATCCTCTACATCCTCCGCATCCTCCATCTGACAATGATAAATGTACCAACAAATACAAACACTATGATTATTCTTTTCTGTGTGCCTTTAAAAAAGGGAGTTATAATTTTATTATTTTTTAAATGTATTGTTTTTTTGGCAAAGGAATGACCAGCATCTTTTTTACTTTTCTGCGTGTTGTGTGCTCAGCAGTTGCTACTTCTAACATAATTCTATGCACTGGCAATACACATTGGAAATCGTCAGGAGAAAATGTTGGAAAGCAGGTTTCAACGTGTTCGTACTCTCGCGATTTATCATTTTCGGGTGTGTACCATTTGATAAATGCAAAAGTATGTTGAGAATTGTGAAGAAGTTGTGTTGGGCGGCGATGGGTGCGGAGCAAGGGAGTAAGGGATGAAGAGGTAGGTGGAGGAGTGAAAGAATGGGTGAAAATGTACTGTATTTGACCCGTGTATGCGATGATATGCTCACCAGTACTTCCAATGAACTTTGCTTGTACAAGAGAGCCACGACTTCCAGATTCACCTTTACCCTTGTAGACCTGCCCAAGGATGTTGATGTATTTCAACAGGGTGATTGTATTGTCGACAAAGTATGATGATTCTGACGCTTGTTGAAAGTGAACTAATTGTTCATTGTTGTACGCAACTTTGTAGTATTGTAAGAGATGAACATAGTGAATGTCACTCATTGTGGTAGCGGATTTTAATGATAGAGGGAATGCGGAAGGAGGGAGAGGTTCGTTGCCTTTTACAAGTACATTTGGATCTTCAGAAGCCTCGACAAATGACTGTATGCGGAAGGTACG